TTACAATGCAGGACTAGGCACATATGTGCATCAGTCCAAGTTGCCACACCTCATTAGCACAACAAGAAGAACACGGGATTCATAGAAGTAGTTAATTTAGTGGTGGTAATATATAAAAGAAAGAGTGCATATAAGGACACAGTACAGGAAGAAAGAATTAGTTCATAGAAGGAAAGATATGAAGCGATTTTAAAATGCCAGTCAGGAATAGAATGTCTGGTAACAGAAGGTCGAGAAGATCGAAAAGGAAAGAACGGGGATAAAAAGTACTTCGTATGGAAATGCAGGAACAATGACATCTGAGGCACTTAATTAACATTTTGTAAATGAAGTATTTACTGTATGATTTTCCGATTTTACTATGATATTCTATTATGTTGTATTAAAATACATCCGATTGTCCCCATTTGTGTTCTAGTTCACTGAACTAATCATGAGATAAATAACATAGTCTTTTTTTCACAAGTTGAAATCATGTCTTTTTTGAAATCAAGAACAAATTAGTGAAGTTTGAACATTAAACCTAACTGTTTAACTAATAAAGCAAAACAATGTTTACACAATAAAACAAATAAATATCCTAATGATTTTTTTATTGAGTCATAGTCAAGAGGTTAAGAACTTTTATGAAGAGAAAATGGATTATTTCTAGGATGATTAATTGAAATTAACACGTTGCTGATTTAAACAAAAATTCAATTTTTGTTAAATCCAGGTTAAATGGGGTTCTCTCACTGTTGATTGGTTAATTTATAGATTATATTCATCCAAGATGGACCATAGAGTACTATCGAAAAATATTGAACACCGAACTACTGTTACAGTAGTGCTTCGACTCAGATCAATCTGTGATGAATGCTACCTATAAATTAAATTGATTCGTATAAAACTACTGTGACTTAGCAATAATAATCAGCTCACTAATGACTTATTTTAAGGTGTTCCTGAAGTCCTAGTAAAAAACCGTAACTGATGAAGTTCAAACATGTTGAGAGTGAAAAAAATTGTCATTAATTGGATTGATTAATTGTAGAATTGTGGTGTACTACGCTACTTAAGTCACATGTAACACTAATTAGAAGTAGAAACCTTGGCAGTGGAAGAATAAGAAACTCGAGAAATGGAAAGAAATTGTGAACTGGAAGAATCATACACAATGTGTAAGACAAATGAAGTTTTCAATGTATAGTTCTTATACTTTACGAAGAAACTCAGTGAGTTTTTTCCAAATTAAAATACACTGGTTATCTCCACCTGTGTTCTTAGTCATTAGAAAAATATATCGGAAACTGATTGAAATTTAAGTACTGGGTGCTGAAACTAGTAGTTCCAACGGATAAGCATTCATCAACATAAAGATGTACATACTTGAGAATCCTAACAATAGGATCAAACAATTAGTCGGAACTCCCTAATTTTCACTGATATATTTAATTAAAACCTATATGTGATGTATGCAATTTACAAGTTAAACGAATTCCTACGTTACCTTTCAATTACATAGATTGTTTCTCAAGAATTAGATCCAAATCAATCAAAAGGTGGATTATATACTAAACCTCATTTTGAATTCTGACCAGCATATCAGTATCATTGAATTAAACACGATGAAACATGAATCACAAATGATCAGCGAACAAAAATACACTAAGATATTCTGTAAATACGGTCGAAGTGGAAATAAACTTCTAATGGTGTTTTCTTTTTCTTTTTGGTTGTCTCAAATATTCACGGAGTCCATTCAACAATCAAGAAGAGTCTAATAAAAATTTAGCTTAGAGACTTCTTTTTATTTTGTTGATATTTTTTCATTTGTTCTGTATTTTATTTTCTGTTAGAGATCAAATGAACAAGTTCACAATGTGATCAATTCAGTCATTTCTAATCATATTTTAACAAATCAATATTGTAATCCTATTTCAGTTATTTTTTCCTTAATTTTATTTGAACACGTAAATATTGGTACAAGAAAGCGCCAATATATATGCGCCACACAAAACAATAAGAATTCGAAGAGAAATAAAAAAAAGGAAAAGAGCGTGAAAAAAAGAGAGCAATAACGAAGAGGTTGGTGTAAGTTAGTGTAGTAATAATAATAGCAATAATGAGAGAACGGAAAGGTACAATCGGAAGAAATCTTTCAGTTAAGGGAGACACAAACACTTTTTATGAAGAAAGTAAAAGGTTACAGCAGGATCGCCACTGGCTTTTAGCCATATCTGATAATGTCTCTAGCCAATGTGTAGCACCATCTCTCGGATCACAGCCAGGGAGTACCGAAGGAACAACACAAGCCAGCTCTTTGCAGCCTTTTTTCATACCACAACACCATGTCATACACTGACCACCACTACGCTTCTTCCAACCAGTCCAAGAGTCGGCAAATAATGCACGACGGGGAATTCTCTGGGACGACATTCGTACAACATGTCCAAGCCATCTAAGTCGGTGTTTCAAGATGGTGACATCAATTGAATTATCATCTCTGTGCCCCAACACATGATGTCAAACCTCTGCATTACTAACATGATGTTGCCACTGGATGTCAGCAATCCTTCGGAGAGAGCGATGACCAAACACAAACTCAACTCGCAGAGGCCAGGTTTCACAAGCATAGAGCAAAACTGCTTTCAAGAACACGTTGCAGATCCGACCATTTACAGCAAACCTGACATCAAGAAAGCGCCAAAGATGGTCCAGATTTGCATAAACCAATCTGGCTTTCACTATAAGTGCATTGATCTCATCACTCACGCCACACACCACCAGCACGTATGCAGCTACCCGGATACACGAAATTCTCAACTACTTCTATCTGCTCACCATCCAAGCTGAGTATAGGATTGGAATCCTGCCAGTCTTGTGGAAGTACTTTGCACTTCGAAGGTGCGAAGCACACACCATACCTACGGACACTGATTGCCAACTGATTAAGTGCGGATTGCATACCTTGGGCATTATCGCACAGTAAGACAATATCGTCCGCATACTCAAGGTTGAGAAGTCTTTCTCCAGGACATAAATCCACACCGCTATTATTTACATCCATCAGAGCTGTTTCCGGAATGTCATCGATGGCAAAGTTGAAGAGGAATGGTGAGATTGTGTAACCATGTCTAACCCCACTGCTCGAATGGAACAATGGAGAGGGGTGGTTGTTTGCCCTCACTCTGCCTGAGGTGTTTGTATAAACGGCCTTTAGGATATCTATAAACTTCTCAGGCGCACCCTTCTTCAATAGACAATCCCAGAGAACAGTCCTATCCAACGAATCGAAGGCAGCCCTGATGTCAAGAAACACTACGATTGTTGGCCTTTGATAAGTATGACGGTGTTCTAACATTAGGCGGAGGGTAAAGATATGATCAATATATCCTCGACCGAAACGAAAACTAGCCAGCTCCTCGCGAGTCAATCTTTATCGGGTTTTGAACAACCTACGAAGTATGACGGAAGCCAATAGCTTGGACGCATTCGGAAGTAGACTTATCCCCCGATAGTTGATACAAGAACGACGTGAACCCTTTTTAAACACAGGGAAAACTGTCGACTCATTCCATGACGTTGGTACACTCTCTAGTTCCCAGACCTTTGTAAACAACGGCGTTAATTCTTAACCAGAAAGTCACCACCATCTTTAAAAAGAGTCGGAGGTAATTCATTTGCGCCAGGTGATTTGCAGCGCTTCAAGAGTTGGAGTTCTTTGTGGATTTCCTCCTCGTTTGGTGGATCAGTCGTCACCGGCCATGGAGGGCACGACAGTCTGACAGATGCTGCCGGAGCAGCAGGCCACTTGAACTGCCCTTCGAAAAATTCTGCTCATCGTCCAAGACGTCGATGGATGTTAGTGATTGGTATCTCATCATCCTCACAGATTGTTTCGCTCACACCAGACTTCTTGCTGCCGGTGACACGGATGATTTGAAAGAGCTTCTGGTAGTTACCAGATGCAGCTGCTGCTTCCAGCTCATTAGCACGCTCTTACAACCAGGCTTCTCGGTCCTTACGCAAGCTTTGCCCAATTTCCTTACGTAACATCCTTCGTTTATGGTCAAACTCACGGTCACCCGGAGTAGACCGACAGGCTACAATGAGTTCTAAGGAACCAGAAGAAACCCAGTGCTTATAAGCGGGACGTTTCGCAAACCCAAAGGTGACTCAACTCACCATTTTCATGGCGTCATGCAATTGCAACCAATGCTCATCTATACTTTTTGGTGGAATGGTAACTAACCTAGAAACTAGCTCGATTCGATACTTACTTGCAACAGAAGTTGCAACTAGCTTGCTAACATCAATCCGTTGGTGACGATCACTTCGTTGACCACTGAAAAGTAAGGCAAGATTGGCGCAGACCAGACCATGATCAGAGTCCAGATAGGTACTCCAAAAGGAGTGGCAGTCCTGTACACAACCACGCCAGCGGTAGCTGATCGCGATGTGATCAATCTGAGTCCAGACTTGGGATGCAGAGGGAGGATGCCAGGTGGCATATCGACGATGACTGTGCCGAAGGTTAGTGCTAGTCAGAAACAGGTTGTGATCTGTGCACAGTTCCAGTAGACGGTCCCCGTTTTCTGACCTGCGACCAACGAGTCCCCATCGGCCACCTAAACAACTCTATTCTGTGCCTAGACGCCCGACCTGAACATTCAAGTCTCCGGCTAGTACTACAATATCTGCCGAACGCACTTTCTGGAGAAGAACAGTTAGCTGGTGGTAAAACTCATCCTTGATTGCATCTGGGCTGCAATCTGTCGGAGCATAGGCGGAGATGACGAAAAGACATCGTTTCTCACGCCGATTTCTTCTCACTTTGATGGAACTTTATAATCTAACAGCACATAACCGACTGTTAATGGGGATCCAATCGATTACTGCTGCCTCAGCTCTAGCGCTTAGTGCCACACCAACGCCAGCAAGACCAAACGAAAGTACCACATGGTCCCCGGATAAACGCACGTAAAACAAGCTTTTCTATGATAAAGATATTGACTTACATGTGAAACAAGCTTCTGGCAATCGATTCGTTTGTGATGATCACAAATCAGTTTTATATGAGCTTTCTACGCTGTAATCACCACGGATTAGGAATATTGTTATGATTAAGTGATGACCTATTATCTGTTGACTAAAACGACGAGCATGATTGTGATGGATTGATTTCAGCTAGGTCTGGATCCGATGGCTCTAACCAACGATCGGATGCACAGAATACTCCAGCATAAGCGAAGGTATGAGAGGTTTGCTGATTTACTCAGAGACGATAGTCAACCATTCCATTACCACTTGGTGGATTGATGGGAACACATGACAGAGCTATTGATTTTTAAAATTTCAAAATGTTTCTTAACTAGTTTCTGGACAACGTGAGATACTGTTATAATTCCTTTTATCACGAACCAGCTACTCCTATTGCCTAGTAGTCTTGATCACTATTTCACTCGACAAGCCCCCAAACTAGAACATGGTTTAAAAAGAACGTAATGATATTCCAAATAAAAGTGTTCCATGGAAGGATTCATAACAAGAAAAAAGTTAGTATATTTATAATCTCTATATGAGGAGATCCTAGTCTTCTTCAAGTCTCCGAAAGCGTTGGTTGTCTAGGAAATATCCATTCAGCGTGCTTCAACACAATCCTACACCCAACGTGCTTTAATCCAATCTATATCCCGCTAACAAATATCTACTACGGTCGTGAACATGATTTAGAAAGAATCTTAACTAAACTATGCTTAAAACTATTTTCTCCACCAAAGTATTTTAATAAAGTTGAATAATGTGTAACAATCAAATCCAATAAGAGTATTTCGCCTTATTTGTGACTCGTCAGTTGAATGGATACGGGACATTCTAACATTCATGTTCACACCGTTCACTTCAAACGCCCAACGCAATAACTCTAATGAGCTACAAAGGTCAGATAGCCGCTGACATGTACAATGGTTAAAATTTGTATCTTCCCATTGTTAAAACGAGTATCCTGAATTTCTCTTATAAATAACACCGAACTCAACGATAAGAATTGTGGGCAAATAAAAATATGACGTGCCGAATCAACACACTAACAGCTACTGAGAAAAAAGGCAGTTTGATCGGCTTTAAACATTTGTCTTTTGTTGGCAGCGGTCACACTACTAGATTGGTGAAATCACCACCTATCCCATATTCTTTTCAGATACCTCAAGGAAAACTATCTTTCCTCAATGTAGGTCGCTGGGAAATATCAACTGTTCACATAACTCTAGCAGCATTCAAAAACACCTCGTCTGTATTATAACAACTTCATCTCTTTTTAATACTTTTCCTCTATCTCTACTATCAAATTCCGCCTTATGGCTTCCTCTTTTATAGTTATAGTCATGTGCCACGTAAAATCTGATACATAAGTACGTCAACTCAGGTTGTAATGTCTTATTAGCACTGATAGATAAAATTATCGAGGCAAATCCCAGATTACTCAGAGTAGTAAAAACATTTGTAGTAGTAGGAAAGATTAGGTACATGCAAAGAAAAAAGGTATAAAGAGATTTTGTGACAAAGGTTAGATTCTAAAGCAAAACAAGGATTGAACCTATATAGACGATTGTGAGTGGTCCTGATTTATATCATCAAACGTTGCTAATCATCGTTTAGGATAATCACGGAGACTCCAAGCCGGTAATCTGAAGCTACTTAAATGATTCAGTTCACTTGTTACTGACTTCATGGACTAGTGCCACATCTTGGTTTAGCCATCCTTAGCTTACTTTATTCTACGCTTAAACTAGACAATATGTCCCGTCAAGATAGGTGGCGATCGGGTAGACGTAACAAATATCTCAACCAACTCAGTTGATAAAGATTCATTACCTCATCAAACAATTTATTATATTTACCTAAGACTTAATGCAGATTTCAACTTTATTCTTTGTGCCAACTACGCTAACAGTTCCAGTTCACAAATTGTCATTCCTGAGACCACATTTTAACTTATATGTTAAACTATTTAAATATTCGACTGAAAATTTCTATTTGTTATCAATAATAACATCAGTTCATAATTAAACCCTAATTATTCAATCTATTTTGATAGTAATAATGAACGGCATCATAAACACAATTAGAATATACTAATTTTAATTACACGACTTATTGCTGAATAGAGATAAAATGCACACACACACACATATATACATACATACTACTAGTATCTCTGATGATATAAATAAATTCTATAATATACTGAAATTTCTATTCATTCATACATCATTTTATGATAATAGAATGAGACTATTGAAAATCAATTTAACTTATCTCAGTTGATGTATTCAATCAGAAAGGTAAGTTAAGGTGAGTGAAGTGAAGTGAGGTGAAGTGGAGTAGCATGCAATAATCACTATCATAACAAATAACTAACTGACTAAATAAATAAATAAATAAATAGAGAGATAAGTGAGTAAACATAACAAACATAATTGAGTAGCTAAGAGAGAAAACATTAGTTAAATAACTGATCATTCATAGATCAATGAAAGAAAAAAATGAATGAAGAAATAAATAAACCAGTGAATTAACCAGTCAATAAAAATCAACGATTTAGTTGAGTACTTTTGAAGTTTCAATGTTCTGTGTGTGTTTTTTTCTTCAAACAAATTCAAGTTGGTTTTAATTTCATATTCATAAAAGGACTGTGTTATACTTGAGTTGATCTAAAATATTTTCAATATTCAGCAACTGTAGTGCATTTAACACTTACGGTTATTTCCTTGTTGTCTAACAGTAAATCAACGAGCACTACATATAGAAGTTTAATTAGTTGACCTTGAAGATTTCGTCATTTGAATACATCATCAACCGATGAAGAAATTTGAAATTATTAAATGGTTAGGTGGTGTCATTTTCACTAATGAAACTTGAAGCTAATGGGTACATTGGTGTCAATCTATCATGATTTTTGATAGTTATCAAAGTAATGTCAACTAAAAAATTTCAGAAATTCTAATTGTGGAAATTAAAACAAGATATCTAGACGAATAGAGAAAGATGGTTTCTAAATGACGCTCAAATTTCTTCTATACACGAATGGGACGAAAATCTATACAAAATATCATGCCAGTGTCCATTCTACAGGACTTCAATGCGATTTCGATCACGAACACGTGACTGACCAGACTACAATGTGCGTATATTTCAGCGACAATAACGAACAATAAGAAATAATAATGTGATAGAAAACATATGACACATCTAATGCTTGTCAGACCATCTACCAGTCTGAATAAGTAAACAACCAATCAGTATTTTTATCAGCTACACATCAGGTTTACGTTTTGAAATTGAGTCAGCTCGCAGTAAGCATCAGTAATGAGTAATTTCGAGGAGTAATATCTAGAGTTCTAGTAACAGGCTATGATCAATGTAGTTCGGTTATATCGGGTCCGAGGCAACTACACATCAATATCACTAGATAATGATTTCGTAATGCTGTAAGTTGACTGACTGACTGCCTTCAGAAGCATCAACCATTAGGTCCCAACTAGTTAGTATAAGGATTTATGTCTCATCATGAAGTCTGAAATTCTTTGAATGATTCATCAGTGTAAAATACTGAAGAGTTCAATGCTAGAATGAAAAAGCCATTTAATGTTTCTTGATTTTCAATGATTATCTGTCTACAATCAGTTCATCATGTGGATAACATAAACATTTAAACAATTTCTGCAATAAACAAAAAACAAACTAATGCTTACCAATATATTCCAACACTATGCCTTTTCCATGAATAATATATGGATCTAATAAATTTAAATTTGATGTAAACTGTAAACCGTATACATTACTGATTGGACCATAAATTTGCCCAACTAAATATGATTCATCTGGTGGATACAATTTATTATAATCCATTGAATTAAATGAAGAGGATCCAGAGGAGATCGAAGAAGAAGGAGAAGAATAAGATAATGATGAATTGATCATTTTTATTTCTGTTAATTTTGTTTTTGTCTTTGTAGCGATTGTTTTCAATGTGGAATTATTGATTAAACAAAAACGAATTATTGGTATATTGCTAATTGTACCATCATAAACATTAGATATACGAGCATCAACTGATAAATAATCATGACTACATGCAATTCCAGGATTTGATGGACATGCTGATCCAGTAGCTAATATTAAATTATTATTATGATTATTATTATTTAATAATACGGATGACAATGATGAAGTCGATGAGGACGATGAAGAAGCAAGAGCCCATGAAATTCCATCTACAATAGTGTAAAGAAACAAAAGTGCAAACAGCATAAAATGTGATGAATTACATGGTATCTACTTAAACCACACTTGATTAATTCAACCATTAAAAAACGAATAAACGCGTGATGTATGCTACTTATCTTGACAGATATAAGTAGTATATAATACCAAAATACAGTACCTGTTAGCAAAAGTTTCAGATTGAATTACGAAAAACAGAAAAGGAAACGGTGAGGAATTAAAATGACAGCCGAATATGAAGAATGAAGAAGTATGTACACGACAACTGAAAGGAGACTTGAAAATAAAGGACTTAATTTTACGAAAGCATTGTGATATTTAACGTTAAATGATAAATTGGTTATCCCCACGTAAGTGTTCGTTCAATGCATTCAAACATTGTGTAGTAACTTTTTATTATCAATAGCATTGATTAATACTGACAGTTCTTATATTTTCATCAAGTGAATTAAATAAATTAAACAGTTATTTTTGACAGCCTCTAATCATATTTTGATATCACATACTATGACGTTTTTCTAGTTTTTCAATACGAAAATCAAGATGGTTCTACTGTATGGAGCTGAAATCTCGAGAATTATAACAATCATCATCAAAAATGCAGAAATATTTACAAACCATTGTTTACGCAACATACTGGATGTCCGTTGGCTGAATAGCATTAGCAACAGCCAACTGTGCGAGAGAACAAACTAGCTTCTAAATGAGGAGGAAATTAGTAAAAAACAGAGTTCCAGGGAAAATTCTGGTAGGGCAGCCTAAGCTCCTCCACGAGGGTTAACAAGCGTATGTAATGATGTCAAACTAGATTAATTACATTAATTTTACACTGAAATTTAATCAAAATATAAAGAATGCCTTTGATGTAAAAACAAAGTAAGCCCATATCCACAAAAATATATTTGTATATATATATATATATATATATATATATATATATATATATATATATATATATATATATATATATATTGAAAGGAAGAGAGATGTAAATGGCAGCGGCAATAGGTAATAACAGACAATTGTTCAGACTCGTTAAGGAAACCGGTATTTAGGAACCTGACTGTTAGCATAACGATCTCAGAGAAAGATGGACATATTATTCATTCTCAATCCAGGAGATTGGATCGATGGGCAGAACACTTCAGGGATCAGTTCAACTGGCCTTTAGCCACACTTCGGTTTCGCACGATCTCCAGTTAACATGAATAGCAAGTCAATGTATGTCCTCCGACTCTTTACAAAGTTGAAAAAGCTATAGCGAATCTGAAGCGAGGGAGAGCAGCAGGTCCTGACAGGTTTACTCCTGATATTTTCAAGGATGGTGGTCCAGTATCAGCAGTGAGATTAACTGAGGTCTTAGATAGAATTTGGGAACTGGAAGTAATCCCATCTGACTGGTGTGAACCGATGGTTTGAGACCCTGAATGACATGGCTCAAAATCGTTTGCAATGACGCAAGTGCATCCACTCTTTGTGTTCTCCCAAATTCTAATCTACTGAATTCTTCATGTCCCTTATTTTATTTCCAAATTTATTTCACTGTATTATACTTCTTGAATAACATCTTCAAGCCCCAATGTTTCCGATTACTGCTTATACTCTTACTATCTCTACCACTACGGAATTTGAGTAGACAACCGCATCTCTGTGCTAATGTGGTGCGGTAACTCGAACTGATGTACGTACGTACGAAGTTCTACGTTGTTACTGACTGATATATATTTTGAGTACTAGAAAAATTGTATCATTTAAATATGATCAATGTTACTAATCCATATCAGCTAGGGAGAAGAGAAAACACTGAAAACTAAGAAGCAGTTAACAGATATTTCATTTCAGGATGAAACTCTAAAAATGTAATAAACAAAAAGAACTTTGGATTTCCTAGTGTGAATTCATTCCTACATCTTTTTGAACAATTGAGCTGGATAACGACATTTTATCTAGTTAATTTAACTAATAATGTCATTAACAAGATTTAACTTGATATATTCATACTTCCCTCAATAGAAAAGAAGACCTTACCATCCATTCAACTTATCCAAGCTACCATGTCTGATTCTATTTTCACCTCACATTATTATCGTACATACAAATTCAACTCTATGCTGCTTACACATATTTCATCCATTAACATAAACATGCACAACTAAACAAACATGTCTCATATAAGTCACTTCGACCGCAATCATATAACATTGACCTGATTAGACTTTTTCTGATTAATTGCACTAAATATTCTTTTTTTTTCCTTTGTATTAAGTAAACTTGAGTTAATTTAATGCGGTTATTTATTCTCTGAAGAAGCGACTTACACTGAGTCACAAAACGCCAAACATTCAATTTTTCTACCCAATAGGATAATACAAATAAATGATTCTTATTATTAATTGTAAGATGACATATAATTGAAATTGGCAACTTTATAACAGCTGAAGACAGAAAAGTATGGTCGGAGATTTATTGAAAAAGCTGAACTGAATTATTTGAAAGTTTAATAAATGTCAATTGATTAGTGATTAGTTTACAAATAAATGATAAATGTCACTTAGTAAGAAAGACAACATAAAATGAAAACATTTTAGGTGGATCAGTTTATCTGTATCACTCCGCTTGGAACTCCCCTGGGGCTACTGCTGGTCCCAATCCCAGGCAAAGGAGGAGGGTTGGGCATGAGGTTAGCGATCTCATCCGGTAGAAAACTAACTCATTGTTTATATGTATATTTTAGGAATAGAGAGATAAAAGGGCGGGAATACTAAATAAGGTGTAGTATAACGATAGGAAAATTCTGCAACAATTTAGTGATCAAATGAATCAAAATCTATTAAAAGTGAAATACTGATAATGAATTATGTAAAATCGAAAACCCTGATTCTTATATCTACATAGAAATCATGAATCAGGAATTTGTATGTTAAAATTGAATCATTTTAAAACTTACATTCAATAGTTTAACGAGTAATTTATCAAGATAATAGCAAAATCGGGTTGTGACAGTAGTTGACAATAACCTGTGAGTTACTAATTGTCCTAGATATTGCTAGTCTGTCCCCTGAATCTTCATATTCTTCATTTATAATATGAATTCCTATATTTGAATAGCTATAAGCTGATCAGGTTTCTAAGATCTTCATTCCCTATGATAATCTGAACTCATATCTGATTGGTCGCTTCAAAATTTAGCAAACTTTCCAGGTCAATAACAAATTATAGTTATGAACATCTGTTTCGTCCCGTTGTGGGACCCCTTAGTAGTGCGCATCCACGACCCCGCCTCGTAGGACTCGAACTCAGGAAATATCAGTCTCGCGCTAAGCGCTCAACCAACTAGACCACTGAGCCCGCATCCAACGGTGTTAATGTCTAACTTCAACCAATTCATGAAATTCAGTGAGACATCCACCATTGTCTTCCATGAGTTACTATCTCACAACAGATTTGATTGAACTCCACTGGTCATTGCTTCTCACTAGAACTCCAGTTACTAGTGATCATATGTTGATTAATATCAGAAGGGGATTTTTCTGGATATTATAGTAATTCATTTTCACATTTTGAAATGACATTGAAAGTTTTATTGTCAAAAGTCCAATCTTCTCTTTTATGAATGTTCAGTCAATGTCGATTAAATTTTTCTGGATCATATACAATTGATCTGCCTTAGATCACTAAAAGTATACAGTAAGCACTCTGTTGTATAGTCGGTTATTCATATCCTGCTTATCTAATTTCCTATCAACTAAAGTCGTCATCATTATGAATATTAACTTGAAATGCTAGTACTCTAAATCCGATGATACAAGAGGTATTAAACAAGTGATAGTCCTAAACTATGACGTAATTCCAATGCAAAATTGGTTTGTTAAGAAGAAGAATGAACAAACGTTCTCATATTACTCCAAACATAACTGTTGTATATTGTGAGGAGGTTGAAGGTAGTTAGCATAAAACACCACTACTGAGCCATCTGAAACAAAATTATCTAGGCGATAACATGATAGATGGAATTCTACCTAATAATATTTTAGATAAACGTAGCATTAATCAATCGATGTTTTAGTTTCAGGTTATCTGATTATGGATAACAATCCAGTCCTCAAAAATTAATTCAATCTTAGTTATTCGGCCCACTGAATTCCTCCTACGTACACGTGATCGACCGCATTGAATGTTGATACGATTAACAAAAATACATAATTAACCAATGTAACATTGTAGAAAGCTATGGTAAATCTTGTGTTTTATAATCTGTCGTTATAATTTCAGGCTTCAGCTGGATGAATTAAGTCGTTTAATATGAAATTAAAAAACCTCAATGGAAGATTTTTGACTAATTTAAATAATATATTCCAAAATTCATCAGCTAAGCGATACACTCAGTATATTGCACGTAACTGAGCATATATAATTTGAATCTATCAGTAAGAGCTTAAGATGAGGACAAAATATTGGTTAAACTCCGCACTCTAATTGACCATTATAACAAGTTATATTTTACAATTATCATAGAGAAGGAAGAAACCTGCTCTCAAAGCTCATTCATCAAGTATTAATTTATAGCTAGAAGGCGATAGTGTATAAACCGATTTATTTCATGAAAAAATCGTACCTTTCCAGATGCAATTTTTTTAAAAGGTTGACAGGGATCCCAAATTAAGGAGAATCCTGAAGTACAGTTCACTTGTATTTTAACAATCTTCTCTTAATTGATGTAAGTACTTAGACTTAAACTAGAATTTCCTGAACTAACTAGTCAATGGATATTAACTAGTAAAAAAATTAAATGACACTTTCTTTTTAAATATAACTACTCATCAAGTACAAATTTGATAGGAACAGATAAACAACAAAGCCATGAAAAACAATGGAAGCTATTTTTTGGAGACGTTATTTCACATAATTCAAAGTTTGTGAAATACTAACATTTAGTTTTATCCTTAGGTTATTCTATAAACCGTGAGCTTCCGTTTGGCGAATGATTCAC